CAAAAACTCATATTCCTTATTAATAATGTTGAAGACGGTGCTTCAGGACATTAGAGCCAGTAACGAGTAGAAGTTAATTTTTTCACATTAAATTTTAGCGCAACAAACTAATATTAAATACCACATTTATTTCGAAAATGACCCACAAACAAAATATTTTGAAACTAGATGAAAGAATTTTTTTACTAAAGGGCCCCTTGCACGGTCAATATTATTGAGCCAATATTATTGAAGCAATATAATTGAAGGGAATATATTGAAGAGGTATCTCACACCTGTCAATTATATTGAGTCAATATTATATCAGTTAAGATCTTGCTTTCACTAAAGGAGGTTTCCAAAGAGATAATATTATTTGTTTGTGGCAATGAATAATAATGAATTTCCTATTAATGTAATTGCCTTGGCTTTAGCATAAAAAAAAGTGTTCTTTATACTTTTTATATTGTTCCTAGACATTATATAAAACGTTTCTTGTTTCAAATAGGTGCTATTCTTGTTTCCTAATTATTTAATATTTAAAAGATAGTTTAATAATAGAAAGAAATTGTTATTAAACTTTTTTATAAAAAGTATCACCCACCTACTCAAACATATTGCCATTTTATCTTTAAAAAGTAATTCGAAGAGAGGAGGTTAACCCACCTCCAAAAAAAAAAAAAAAAAAAAAAAAAAAAAAAAAAAAAAAAAAAAAAAAAAAAAAAATAAAAAAAAAAAAAAAAAATAAAATAAAATAAAATAAAAGTAAAACAAAGTATCACTCACCTACCGAAATATATATCCGTTTTATCTTTTAACAAAAATATCGGAAGCGGGATTAACTCCTTCCTTCCTAAAAATAAAATAAAGTATCACCCACCTGCCGAAATATATATCCGTTTTATCTTTTAAAAAACATATCAGGGGGGAGGGGTTATCCCCCCTCCCCCACCCTTTCCAAAAAAAAATATCACCCAGCTACCGAAATATAAGTACGAGTATATTTGTTTTGTATTTTAAATACAAAATCGGAGGGTGATTAAATCCTCCCCTTCCAAAAAAAAGTACATTAAAAAAGTATCTCCCCCCCCCCCTACTCAAACATATTGCCAGGAGGCAGTACCGGAAATTTGGTATCGCCCAGAACTTCTCAAGATCCGTATATGTGGTTTAATATTGCTCAATATAACCCTTACACGTACAATTATATTGACACTGTTTCAATAATATTGAAGGAGCTTCAATAAAAATTAAAAAAAAAATTATATCAACGAACACTGTCATCACTACGTATGCTGATGACACATGTATCCTGTCAGTTAATAATGATCTAACAATTGCATCCCAAACCCTTCAATCACACAACACAAACCTTGAAGAATGGTGTCAAAACTGGAGGATTAAAATAAATTCCAATAAATCCCATCAAATCACCTTTACCCTTCGTCATAAAACAATGACTTGCTGCCCTATAGTATCCTTTAATGACACCCCACTTATCCCTGTAGAACAAATCCGATACCTTGGACTCCAGCTGGACAAACGTCTCACTTGGAATCCTCATACAAGACTGAAACGACAAGAAACTGCTCGACGTTTTTCCGATTACTCCAACACTTACTAGACAAACGCTCTAAACTTCCCATTAATTACAAACGACTCATATACATGACTATAATAAGACCTATTTGGACTTATGGAGTTGAACTGCGGGGCTTCACTAAACCATCAAATTCCTCTCGTATCCAATCTTTACAATCCAAAATCCTTCGTAAGATCCTCAATGCTCCTTACTTTGTCACAAATAAAATAATCCATAAAGACCTCTATGTTCCATATGTTTCCGATTTGGCCGAATCCAGATACCTATCCTTCCATAATAAACTTCATAACCATATGAATCCTCTTGTTTCTAACCTTGCTTCCTCTTCGATTCCTGATAACCCTCTGAGGCGTCTGAAAAGAAGATGGCCTCGTGATCTCCTCATATAGACAAATTATTAGAGTGCTACCAATGTGTAGTTTCTCAACAAATGTGTTTCATGTTATTTTATTCCTCTGTACACATTTACTTGATGTATTCATACTAATATAGTTGTAAATATCATAATAAAAGTTTAAAAAAAAAATATCAACCAGTTTGATTGAACTCAATATAGTTGATGACAATTTAGCCCTTACACGGTCAATATATTGACGAAACTCCTTAAGGGACCGAGGGATATATTGTGACAATTATATTGACATTTGTAGTATGAATACCACGTTGGAGAACAATGCATCAATAATATTGACATGTATGGTGGGCTCAAAATAGTTCAGTTATAAAGTGAATAATAATAATAAAAGGCATTTTGTTTTTGATTGGTCATAAAGTGAAAATAAGCATTTACGAAGAAACTAGTTAGTTTAAATTGTAATTTTAATTTTTAGTGTCTTATATGTATTTTCATTCGTATTTATCTAAACAGTTGTTAATTTTTTTTAATGAAACTTTATGTTTCATTGTATTTTTCTTCTCTCCTAAGAAGGGATAAATGTTTTACATCACTTATCTGAATGCTTCAACTCAGAGGTTGAAACAGTTATTTTTTTTACTAATGAGTTCAACTTTAACCGTTTGAAAAAAAAATGTATCAACACGAAGTTGAAAGTAATTTTTTTTCATAACTGTTATATACAAGTTCTAGCTTGAAATAGTTATACTTTTTTAATACATATATAAACGTCATAAAAAAGTATTTGTTATACTTTCACTTATTCCCTCTTTAATAAAAATTATAAGTAGAAACAAATTACTAATTATAATAGAAGTTCATAATTATTACACTGCAGTGCATATTACAGTGCATAATTATTACACTCAGAGGTTGAAACAGTTATTTTTTTTTACTAATGAGTTCAACTTTAATCGTTTGAAAAAAAAATGTATCAACACGAAGTTGAAAGTAATTTTTTTTCATAACTGTTATATACAAGTTCTAGTCTGAAATAGTTATACTTTTTTAATACATATATAAACGTCATAAAAAAGTATTTGTTAAACTTTCACTTATTCCCTCTTTAATAAAAATTATAAGTAGAAACAAATTACTAATTATAATAGAAGTTCATAATTATTACACTGCTCAGAATGGAAAACTAATAAATTCTGCCGATCCTGGAAAATATTTCAATGCAACTTAGAGAACATTATGCAATACAAAATTTTATTTGTTAATTATAATTGTTTTGTTAGAAAAGTAAAAGCTTTAACGTTTCTGAATTAATGTAATACATACATAACTATCTTGTTAACTACGTAACTATATTGTTCCATACCTTGTAAATATTTGATGTGTTAAATGCACAGATAAATTTATTTATTTTATTTTATTTTTTTGTACCAATCATCCAAATAGTATTAAATGATGTTATTTAGTTGATCGGGCGCTTATGACCTGGATGTTTTGCGCCTAGACATCGAAACAAACAACAACACAGATAAATTATTACAATGTTTTATATTGGTATGTAACATGAATTGATGATTATATTTTCTGTTAATAAATAGGTAAAATCATATTAATTTTTCATTAAAATCTATTCAAGTAAATGGTCTAGAAAAACTTTTATTAATGAGGTTTGAAAATAAAAGTTAAGAAAATAACTGTTTTGAAATGCCAAGTATTAATAAAAGTTAAAGTTACACAAAAACGTTTATACATCTAAGTAAAAGTTAAATTTTTATTTTTATTATAAGAATTAACTGTTACATTCCATCCCTGCTCCAACTTATTCATCCGATACTGTGCCTTAACCAATAGAAGTTCTGTTACATGTTGGAGACTTTACTAGGCACTATAATAAAAAAGGAGATTTACTCTTAACTATAATTTTTTTAAAAATAAAAAATATCATTTCTGTCAGAATCATCCATATGGGGCATAAAAAAGTGTACTTATAAGTTTCTACGTGAGAATATACAAATCGAATGTCGAATTCATGTTTATCTCTAATCAGATTTAATTTAACATCAATTGTAATTAAATATGTTGTTGAGGTTTTGAACCAAACAGTTGAATAAACATTGGCATTTAATAATGATTTAGTAAAAGACCTTGAGGCTTGGATTAATTTATGGTTATCGTTTTATGTAATGTTCAATTGGATTCTTTTGACTGGCCATTATTATTCAAAGTAGATATTCGAAGTTATGAAATAAAATACATTATGAATTATATGAGAAAACTTAAAAAATAAATTGATATAAACTTCGTTTAATATCACAGAAAAAGCAATCCTGACATCCCATATTATTATTAATTAACCATTTAATAAGTAAGAAATTAAAATATTCAAATTCATTAAAATATTATTATTTTTTGAACTTGAATAAATTCTTTTCATAATAAATCACCGCATTTTCTATGAAATATATCTTAATAATATATGTATATTTCCAGATAATTTAAAATAGTTTATGACGACAAAAGCAAGTTATGTTTAGTTTGAATTATAAATGTTAATGTTTTTTTCAATAATTAAAATATAAAGTCTTATTGAATTAATTCACTAGGTATTATTTAAAGCAAGGGTAATTTTTATTTACCAACGTAGTTAGTTTTAATCAATTATTACCTGGATAAGACGCTTTGAGAAACTTTGATAAAAACAGAAACAATAGGATATTGAAATCTGTAAATATTTATAAAAATGTTGATAAAGAACGATTTTAAAAGTCCAATAATACAGAATTTGGCAACTTGATTATTTGAATGAGTCATAACAAGAGCAATTAGGTTACATATCGATAATCAAAGATTAATAAAAATAGAATATTTCATAGAAGACATACGCTATAGTTGTAAATACTGGTCGGTTTTATGTTTTTTAATTATAAATAAAACAGAAATTATATGTATTTTATGTTTGAAGAACCATTATCTTTATTTAAATTTTGATTATTTCCTAAACTATCGAATTATTGTATTATATCGATGTTTTTTCATATCGATAGAGAAACTGCTTTGTTGACAGATCTTAAAAGTAGTGTGATGGTATCAACCAGTATGTCTCGTTAGGTTTGAATTGTAGTTTGTTTTAATTTAGATTAAGCTTTTATTACGCTAATATTTATCTACTTAAACGTGCGAAATGTATAAGTCTACGATATCTCATAATAATCCAGATTTCGTTAATGAAATAATTTGTAAAACAATGTATTGACAACTACTTACATGATGTTTCATCTATGAAATCAATTTCCTTGTCGAATCTATCGTTTAATATCGTCGGCGTTTAAGTAACCGGTAAGTTCAAGTTAATAACTTTGGTTGAAACTTAACTTTGATTGAATGTGATCATGAATCATAGAAAGTTTTCATGATTTCTTTACTTATGTTATCACCCTAAAGTTAAATTAACAGCTTACAATTTTTACAAGTTTACTAATTTTCTTTTCATTCTAAATTTCTTCAAAAGTCATTTTTCTTCATCCTTTCAGTTTTTTGTATAAGACTTTTTTTTGTCGAAACCTCATATTTATATTTACTTCGAGAATTCCACTTTTCTAGTAATTTCATATTCATTTTTCGTTTAGTTGACTTTCTTGGTTGAAGAGTTCGTTGCTTAGCGCCAGGTTCTGTTTTGAAATTCTGAGTTTCTCTTTTCCATCAGTCATATTGTTTTCATATTTGATTCTGTTATCTTGCACAGGGATTATAAGATGCTGTAGAGTTTATCTGGATAATCTATTTATACCCTTCATAAATTACTTTTTTTCTCTTGAACTGAAGATTATTAATTGCAATTCCTGTTTTTTGATCTAATATTATCTGTTAGTATTAGTGTTAAATTAGTATAATTGAATCTATTCTTCTCAGAAAAGTTGAGTAAAGTGTATTATATACCCATAAGGGATACATATACGTAAGGCTGATGGCTGATATAATTATTAATATGATTTTGTTATCTTGAACTTGATTAAGGCCTGTTACAATTGTTTATACTCTTAATTTATATCCATAAAATTGTACTTTGCTCCATAAATTCATAATATAACATTGCATATATTAATTTCAAGAATGTAGATTTGATTTTTGTATATTTTGTTAATCATTATCATTGCCATCGATTGTTGTTCAAGACATTTTAAATATTTTGTTTTTTGGTCCATTAATATTTCTAATAAATTCATAATAGTCCTGACAGTTGATTCTTAATCAATTTATGATCTAATAATTATTTTTAGCCCTCTTCTATTCATTAGAATTTTCAATTGGTTTATTTCCTTAAATGACATTTTTATCATGTTGAAACTCTTCATTATTTCACTGACTAATAAACCAGTGCTTTACCCAATTAAAAAATTAATAAACATATTTTTCATTCTACTGACAAGGTCTTGAGTATTTTTTTGATCTCTTGGGTGAGTAAAAGTTATCTCTAGTGATCTCCTTAATTCTATAAAAACATCAAAATTAGTAATAATGTCAAATAGAGTATTTGCAGTTGCTGATAATCATTCTATAACCAATTTTTGTGTGTTGCGTTAATGGAATATTGCCAGATGATCAGTAAAGCCAGATTACTATTACTTAAGGAAATCTGTTTAACATTTTTTGATATCTTACACTAATTTATATTTTCAGATGATCTTTTAAAAATGGGTACAAATGGACGAAGAAATGAAAGCCGTAATAGGGAATGGTTGATGAATGGATTCAGTCAAGAAAGTACTCCTGATACTATAATAGAAAATGGTAACTTTGGATTCAGTGGTCACCAACCCGCTGGACCGAATGAACTGTTTGCTGGAGAACAAGTAATTATTTTGTAGTGTTTCATGTTTGATTAACTAATTATTAAAAAAGTTCCAGGTTATTGCTAATATATTTGATTTACCGATAAATTTTAATTGATGGCACAAGTCTTTATATTTTGTTCAAGAATTATTTTATACATTATATTCCATGTTATCATTAATTTTTTTTTTCAGAATGATACACCTTGGTGGAAATCACAATTCTTTGTTTCCGAACCTGTTTTATTCGGAACTTTAGATGGTGTTTTCACATCTTGTTTGATAAATGTGTTCGGTGTCATTGTCTTCCTAAGGTCTGGATGGATCGTCGGACAAGCTGGTGTATTAAATGCAATTTTAATGATAATGGCAACAGGTTAATAAACTTAATATTTATTATTAATATTTTTGGTAATATGAATGGAATATCCTTCCATACGTTTATTTTATAAATAATTTTCTGTTTTTCAGAATTTATTACTGACAATGAATCGATACCTTTCACTCTTTTTTAATTTTAATGTTTAATTTTTCAGGAAAGGGCTTAATATAATTTTGTTTTTAGTTGGCGTTGCGTTGATTACTGTGTTATCTGCTGTTGGGATATGTGAACGTTGCAGAATGGAGAGCGGCGGTGTATACTTTTTGTTAGCTCATGTTCTTGGACCTCGTTTAGGAACTGCTTTTGGTCTTCTTTACGTTTTTGGACAGGTATAATAATGTAATTTCACTATCATTATTTCCTTTAAATATCTATTTAGAACATCCTTGAGTGTAAGATTGTTACCTAACATAAATTTAGATTTTCATCTTTCGATATTTTGATTATGAATTAAATTGTATCAATTTTTCATTGAAAGAAAATATTAATAAAAAATAATAGTATAAACCTCTTTAGAATCTAAGGTTAATAAAGACCATTGTTTTTACCAGATCTAGAAAAATTAGGAAAGTTTTTAAACCTGAATTAGTGAAGGAATTTTATGATATAAAATAAAATAAAACAGATCTGAAGCAACAAAACAAAACATGAAGAGTCTCGGTTTCAGTACTTCGTTAGGAAGTTCTGTTTTCTGGTTTACTGGTTAATTAGTGATATTTCGATAGGTTATTTTATTCTTAACCTGCATTTTAGAAACCCAAGTCTGTGCGTTTGAAATTTTCCTATTATTACCTGACATCAATTTTATGTCTCTTGGGAAGTTTTTACTCGTTTATTATAAAAATGTTTTTATTGAATCACTCTTCTTCTAAATGAATGATATGGTTAGTTAAAAAAAGAAATTATTTCTTATTACTGTCAATAATTTTTTTTTAAATACCATTTGCAGGCTGTAGGATGTTCACTATTTGTGCTTGGCTTTGGTGAATCTTTAGCTGGGCTGGTAGGTTTTGAAGGTGGAAAATGGGCCCAACGTGGATTTGCCAGCGCTGCGGTCCTTCTCTTAGCGGTTATCAATTTAGCCGGAGTAAAATGGGTTGTAAAATTGCAATTCATGCTGTTGGTGGTCCTCCTTCTTGCTGCATTAGATCTTCTCGTCGGTAGTTTTGTACATACCGATATTAGTAAGTACTTTTAATTATTTATAATGTTTTAGTTATCATTTTATAAAACATTGCTGCAGAACTGAAGCTAATCGATATCAATGTTATTATCATTTTTATTTTATTTTATCTTCTGTACATAGTAACTGATATAAAAAATATGTATATTATTTCATTTATTCCAGGAAGTGGTTTTACTGGATGGTGGACTGGTCAACTGAGCGCAAACCTATTCCCAGATTACTTTGATGGTTATAATTGGTTTACGGTTTTTGGTGTATTTTTTCCGACAATTACCGGAATATTGGCTGGAATAAATATGAGTGGTGACCTGAGAAATCCTGCTAAAGATATCCCTAACGGTACATTGGGTGCCGTTATCACAGTGTATGTCATTTTATGTACAATTGAATTCTTAATATCATGATAACTCTATATTTCAATAAAGAAATATAATATATATTGGATACGAAAAATATCTTTTTATTAAATATATGTTTTTTCTAATGATGTAGAGATGGTTGACCATGATATAATATGAGAAGTAGTTGATCAGGGGGGGGGGGCGTGCGGTCAAATATATAATGAATTATAGAAGTAGTATTATTTTATTGTATTTATTTTTTTCATGGCATAAGTGCACTGCGGCCATTGAATATAGCATGTAAGTTAAAAGTAAGTAGACTTACATGCTATATTCTCCTTTGTTTTCTATTTTTGTTCATACTTATTTTCTATTTTTGTTTGCATCTTCTATATATATAGAAGATACTTGATATTTTAACTACATTGTCACCCTCTATATCTCAGATATCCAACTTATTACTTCTTTATCAGACAACTTTTTCTTATTTAATATCTAATTATAATTCAATTATTTTATTTTCACCATGTATCTTTTATATTTTGTAGCCCTGATGAAGACCTGCAAGGTGGATCGAAATGTCGGCATTATAGTTAAATAATATTATTTCTATAATTTAGTATTTATTTGACCGCACCCCTCCGATCAACTCCTTCTCATACGTCTTTTCTGGATAGCATGTACATATAAAAGAACATTTTCTTTTTAAACAACGCATATTACACACTGTAAGATTAATTTTTCTTGAAAATATTTCAGTACTGGTCTATACCTGACTTTTGTGTTGGTATTGGGATCAACCTGTACCAGAGAAGCATTAAAGACTGACTTTATGATATCTGCCAAAGTTTCTGCTGTCCGTGAGTAGTTTAATTTTAGTTTATAATATTTTGAACTTAATATTAATCAAGAGATGTTAAATTTTTTCTCGATTTTTCAGAGGTCCTACTTTTATCTGGACTGTACGTTTCTTCGATGTCTAGTTGCCTTGGAGCTATGTATGGAACTCCTAGAGTTTTGCAATCGATTGCAAATGAGAATGTTATTCCGCATATTCAGTTTCTTGGAAAAGGGGTAAGATTGGCTTAATACGTTATGATTTTTTTTTTTTTTTTCATTCTTACTATGCAACAATATTAATTTCTTCTCTGTCCAATATAAGAATTTATTAAAATATTTTTTGAAGGAAGCTAGTCGACTATTCTACACATCATAGGTGATAAATATTCAGGACGCAGTCATAAAAATTTTTTATTTGTGCCGATGTTTTAACCCAAACATGTGGGTCATCATCAGGGGGTGATTCGAGCACTCGAGGCTTTTTTTTCAGTACTTAAAAGCCTTCAGTGCTCGAATCACGCCCTAATGATGACCCACATGTTTGGGTCGAAATATTGGCGCAAATAAAAAAAATTTATAATGACTGCCTCCTGTATATGTATCACCTATAAAATATTTTTTTTTTATAAAATTGAAACTATGTTCTGGGAATAAAAAAAAACCATTAACAATCCATGAAGGGTTATGGATTCAGTGAAATGTGAAGGTGACGGGCCAATATCACTCTTAACCGCAACGCTTTTCCCCTTAATTTATTATTTAATTAGGAGCTGGGTTTGTCCCAGGGTTGACCCACGGCTAATAAATAATTTCTAGTCATCAGCCGGATTTGAACCTGAGATCTTGAACTCTGGAGGTCAGTGCTCACCCACTGATCTACCCCTCGCCCATTATGAGTATAAATAGAACCCAAAATTATTTTGATATATGGTATCATTGAACCCATGTAGTAACTTTTTAATAAGCAAATACTCCTTATCAAAATACATCACTTATGAACATCAGAAAGATCCGTTGGACTAGTGAAATGAAAATGAAAATAGATTTTTATTATCCTGGGACTTTTGTCACTTTAGGACAAATTATACATACAGAGGAAATGCCTGTGTGGCCATAAAATTAAATTAAATATTTACAATGCTCATTAAAATAAAAATATTGGAAGAAAAATAAAACAAAACCACTAAATACATACAGATATATACAATACAAACATGTGAAAATAAAATAACATAATTAAGAAAAACCATTTCTGGGGGAATTTAAAAAGTTCTCTTATCTACTTTTCATGATCAATCAGTTGGGAAAGAAGTAGGTGCTTAAAAAGGAGGGATTTAAATGAGGAAACTGATTGCGCATGTCGGATATCGGGAGGGATGGTATTAAAGGTGGAGACGTTTTGAATTATAAAGGATTTGTCAAATGCAGCAGTTCAGTGAGGAGGTGGATAGAGGTCAGAAGTACTGGATCTAGTGGGACGGGATTGAATTACTTGAATAAATAGTGGTGATCTGTTGTGGATAATTTTCTCTGTTCAAAACTGAAGAAATCTTACACCTGATACATAAATCATAATGATAATAGGCATCCTTCCATAATATAATGTATTATTATTTATTTCATAATTACTTCATATTATTTATTTTCTAGCGAGGACCAAACAAAGTTCCTGTGTACGCTTTAGTCGTCGTCGCCGTTGTGACAATCAGTTTTATTCTTGATGGCGATATCAACTCTTTAGCACCGATCGTAACTATGCCATTCTTGATGATGTATTCTATTGTTGACTATGCTTACTTCGCTCTTGCCCAAACGTTCGATATACAGTCGCAGAGAGAACAGAGATTCAAGTAAATGATTTTCCATCATTTCGCAATGCATTATAAAAATTATTATTATGTTTATCAATATATTTATCTCTATACAGATCAAAAGAAAGACAGCTTTCCGAATCCTCACCGTCTCTCCAGCAAAGTGATATCAGTAATGATTTGGATACCTTGTTTCCGGAGAGAAGTCAGCACAGGATGTATTCAGCAGTAAGTTTTGTTATAATGGCCCACTGAGCTACAATAATATTCTTTATTATTTTTTAATTAAATTTTATTAACAGGTCTCTAATACTCCAAGTCCAGAACATGTAGCAACGGCGCCTCCGAGTTATACAGTCCACAGAAAAACAACCAACTGGTACTCAAAATGGTGTAATAGATGGCTCTCCTTATTTGGGGTAATAATTTGATTATTAATATTTATCATATTATAATTCTTATTGTAAAATTTCATTTCAACCCATTATCATTCATTCAATCCGTATTTCATTCTTCAACCCAAAATCACTCCAATCCTCTGGTTCTTTCTATCTCCTGCTCCCTGTTACCTGAACAGTGCAGATTAAGAAGAAAATGGCCAAGAGACCTGCTATATCAATAAAAACCAAATCAAGCAAATACACCAAGCCGCGCAAGTGCAAATTGCATAAAATATAAATAAATAAATAATGTTTATAAAATTGTTAAGCCTAATATAATCTTTGATAAGCAATATAAACTCCTCTCTCGATCATAGGGACCTCATGTCGGCGAAATTAGACATGTATTCCGTGACAGTACTACAATTAACGGTAACTTACACAACCTTTGTGTAGATGCAAACCCTTTGCGTTGTGTTATCTCGAAAATAGTACGTTTTTGGGCTTAAGAACGCATGGGGCTTGGTGTACGCATCAAAATCTTTAAAGCCTAGAGTACGATTCTCTAACCTCCATGAAATTCTGAATCCAATGGTAACCCATTCATGGTATTTGAGCATAACAGGAGCTTATATTTGGTATAAAACCAATTACGAGCCTTACTGTAATATGTGTGGGGATTGGCTTAGATGAAGAATGTAAAAGCTCACACATATTCCCTCTCCTTTTTTTTTTCTCCAGATGAATTTTAAGTGTATCATGTTTTTTTTTCTTTCTTAATTAAATTTTTTTTTTATGTACACAATTTTTTCAACTACAATTTTAACAAATAAGTTATTTTTTGCAAGGCATTTTTAAAGTTGGGTATGATGCTGCTCGTGCATTGGGAGTACGCTCTGGCCAACGTTGGAGTGGTATATATTATCTGGTTATACGTCGGGCTGACCAACCCCGCCGTCAAACCTGGAATCGCCTCGGAATTCAAATTCTTCGCATGGTTACACCGAGCCTTCCTTAGGTTATGTGGGTTAGTATTTATTTTTTAAATAATAAAAATAATACAACTACTGTCATTAAGCTACTCACACTAAATCATACACTTAAATACACAAACTATTTTCTGCCATACAATGGAGCTGGATAATATAAAATGTGCTTAATTTTTAAATATAACACAACGTATGCATTTTACTTAGTATATTTTTTTTGTCATCATTTTATTTCTACTAATTTTTTTTTTCTCACAAGTTCACATAGTTTTTGCTATATTTTTACATTCAATACATTTTTATTGTTAGGAGGCGTGGCTACGATTATGAAGAAATTGTTGTTCCGCATAGTCATCCTGGCGTCTCCCTTTCACCATGTCAACTTACGGAAGAGAATGAAGACTTTTCATCTCGCCAAAGGTTTCATCAGACAGCTACCATACGCCCGCTGTACGATCACGATGCCCAGACGAACCAGACAAATATTCAAGTGCTGAGATAGCTGGAACTTTGCGACGATCATGATATTTCGTTTAATCGAGCTATATTAGCTCACTAAAAATTGGCTATCCTGTAGAATACTCTCGTAATTCATTATGATAATACTAGTTATAAAACGTTATCCATTTCGGTTTTTATCGTATTGAATCTTAATTATTGATCTGGAAACAATAAGATCTTGTAAGTATGGCATTACTTTGTTATTAGTTTCTAAAGATTACTCGAAATTCCAGGCTTTAAAAATGATCAAAGATGACTTCGACTATGTTATCTTTTATGAAATAATATAACTAATTAAATAGTTTTTAAAATCCAAAAAGTCAGTTCTAAAATAATTATTTTTTTTTTTTATCGAAAACAAAAGTTACTTTTTATTTATAAATTATATGAATAATTTGGGTTCATCTTTTATTTTTATTTTTAGCTTCCAGAAAGTTTTTACTTTCATTTACCAATATATGAAATACAAAGTAAGGGGAAGTATTGGGATCGAGCAAACTTTTGTAATTTTTATTATAGATATTTTCTTCTTCTACGGTAACCCTAATTAAGAAAAATATATTTGAATTTCCACTCATTCCTTTACAATAAATTTAAAATTAAATTTTATTTTAGTGTTGTTGAGAAAATAAATAATAAACAAATAAAATCAAATATGAATAATAAAATAATTGATATTATTTAAAGTTCCAAATTTTTATGCTTAAAAATTGGTCTTTAAAAAAGTATTTTAGATAAGGTATATGAACATATTTTAGATAATTTCCAGGAAAATCTAAATACTTTTTTCTTTCATTTATTGTATATACAACAATGTTTCGGGCTTATTTCCAAGACTTTCAATCTTCTAAAAAATATATTACAAATTGAATTAATTACTGATTATAAACATTGTTACTTTATTTCCATATGTTTATTCAGTTATGACCAATTTATGATTGAAGAAATATTTTTATTAAAAGATGTTTTTATTTCTGTGTAAGAGATACTTCTTATTTGTCGATAAACGATTCTATAATTATTAATCGCTATTAAAATTAACATGATTTATTATTTAAAGATAGTAAGATATAATTACCTAACTGTATCAAAGCCCTTCGGAAACTATGCTGATTTATTTTTTGCTTGCCTAAGAATTTCACCAATCTGATGATACTAGAATTATAAAATAGTATGTAGTTAAATAATAATTAGGCTTGAATTCATACAACATTAACATAAAATATTAATGAACACCTAGTGTTATATTAATTAAAGATGCATTGATAATATTCAATTTATATGAATTTAAAACTAAAAACAAAAGTCTTAAAGGTACTTTTTGTCTAAGCGGCCGCTACTGACTGCTATCTGCCAATGTTTGTAACCTGAACACTGATAGCTCCCATAATGCAGTGATAAGCCTTCTCCTACTTCACATCTTCGTATTATTGAAAGTGTAAACAGATACAAAAACAAATGTAATAAAAACAAAAATACTTTTATTTGACGACAAATATATTAATGAAATAATAATCAGTTGTCAGGTGTTGTATCCTTTCCAACAGTCCGAATAAATGGTCGTTCCCTCTTCTATATTTTCTTTAATGGCTTGTAATAATATTGTTGTCTTTCTGTCAATTATTTTGATGATAAAACATTCATCTGTTTCTCGGCAAACTCCACCAAACATCCAACAATGATAAGCCAGCAAGTACCCCAACATTTTGAAAATACTGAATTGCCTGTTCTTCTGAAGACGGTAAATCCCATATTCTAAGAAGATCCATAATATGACGAAAATAAACGAAAAAAAAAAATGAAAAATAAATACCAAGGGGTCACAAACTAAAAAAAAAAAGTATAATAAACACAAACGGACCAAAAACTAAAAATAAACACAAACGGGCCAAAAGTTAACATTTTAATAAGTGAACTTAATAAGGGAATAACTGAAAACTAAACAATGCAATAACTCAAAAGTTTGGCGGGATAAGAAGAGGGAGGTTATGTGACATGACGTTAGATAAGATAGATAAGAAGTGAGGTTTCAAAACGGCCGCTTAGACAAAAAGTACCGTCTTAAAAATCAAATTTATTAATATGTATTATAATAAGGCCGTTGCTGGGGGATGTTTTAGTATCAGCACATATCGTCTTGAGGATGTGGAATGGTTTCGATTCCAGAATCCAAGTGCCACACAACCTAATGAGTAGTTAATGAGGGAGAATAATAGTATTAGTAATGAGGAGTAATTATAACGCTATATATTTGTATGTAAAAAACTTAACCAAAGATACTATCAGATCAAATTAAATCCCTGATTTCTTAGTTATTCAGAAGTTATGGAATCACTTTTTTTTTTTCTATCTCATATTACTCAAAGGAATTTTAAACAAATTAAAAACATTATATATAGCTGAGTTATTTTATATAGTAATCACTGTTAGTTTAAAACTTATATTGTTGGATATCAGATTTGGATCTAATTTATTTTTAGTGTTCAGCATATTTGGCTGATTATTTTGTCGGAAATATAATGGTATCATTATAATAGAATTCAATTATTTTGTGGAAAATATATTTTTTTCCTAATATACCAGTCTCTTCATAAAAAAATAAAGATAAAAATAAAAACAAACTTCTACTGATAAATCTCCTCCCATTGGAAAACCTGCTATAAGTAAAGTAAAATAATATGTTAATAAAAATAATTTTGTTAATTTATTTAAATATCGCTACTGTTAGTGCAAAAGGTTGTATATAAAAATTGAGTTTTTTTTTTTAAATAAGAGCATAAAAAACCAATTATTACTTTATGATTTATTAGTATAATTTCATATTTTGTTTCCCTATATAGCATTTGTATACTACATAATGTCACCTTTAATGAAAAGAGAATAGTATTGTAAAATTGTTTCAAACCACCCTTTTGCACTGAAATTAGCAATATACTCCTTGGCTTCGTTATGATTTTTCCAATTGAACAAATTTTTTGATATGTTCATATAATTTCTTGTGAATTTCTATAAGTAGCTTAGTATCGTATTTCATTGCTTCGTTCAATAATATGATTTTTTAATAAATAGCCCATGATCAGTTATAATCAATTTTTTCTGAAAAGAACTTCTTAAAATAAATTAAATTTGTTAATTTTTCTTAATAACCTATTTTGCCTTAACGATTTTCCATAGCCTGGTAGTATGATCGTCTTTTATTACTGTGATCAAAACAAATGACAATAAAATTTTTGGTTCCGATTTACATTTTTTATTACTAAGAGTACTATTAAAATAATGAAATAGTTTTCTTAAATATTTCTGTATGTTCCTTAAATAAATGACTAAAAATTTATAAAGACTGCTTGGCGGAAGACTTCCTTCTTTTAACCGAACTGAGCCTAGTTGCCTACCAAAAATTTAAATTTTAAAAGATGAGATCTGTAGGTTATGATATGAAAACAAATTTTTTTTATGATTAATAATTTAAATAAAAATAAAAAGAGTAGCATTTTGTAGTCAAGTAAAAAATCATTAGAAACTGTTACTATTTTAAACCTAACATTTATTTCAGTATGAGGTAGCAAAATATATGAGTCGGTAAAGCGCGAACTAGTGCTTCATATCTTGGCTTTGTACAATAAATTTTTTTTTAATGGAAAGTTAATAATATTTATAGTATCACTGAGGTTTGAAAAATGCTTTATAGATCCACACAAACATAAAAACAAAAATCATATCGAAGTATAAATCCATTAGTCGGAACCCAGTATTGACGTAATGACGTCTTCCAAGAAAACCGTAAGGTCATCAATCAGTGCCTGTTATATTAGATTAATATTCTTCCAAATTGAAGTAATGTGGGATTTTAAAAGCAGTTGTTGTATATCGTTTACGAGTTAATAGTGCACATCTTTTGATTCTTGTAAATAAAGATCCTTAACTATTAATTAATGAGTAATCCGATTTCCCATCACAAAATTTTAATATGGGGAAGAAATTGGAGTCATTTGATAGGTTAATATAAATTTATTGCTATCATAAACTATTTTCTTAACTCTGTTTTATCCATCTTCCACGCAAAGGACCTGAAACATGTTCTGTTTGAGTTTGACATGCCTTTTATTGGCCTAATAAAATCATTTTTTTGGAATTAAAAAAACATATAGATATTAAAGAAAATCAAATAGATAACCATACAAAGGATGAAACCTAATTGCCTTTACTTTTTTCACAAAAAAAAAAAAACAAAAAGACGAGGACTTCTACTGTCTTAATGTATGAAACAAATCTATTTGTTTATATTGGAGTACTTGCATGCATTTTTAATATTTCAATTAAAATTTGTGATTTTTCTGATTCGTATTAATTATTAATTAAATAATAAATTAATTGATTTTATGAAAAGTGGAGATGAGAGTTGAACTTGACACCAGCTTCGACAAATACCTCAATTTTTTAATTCTTAGCTTGATGGTGAAGCATTTCCTGCTTTAAAACTACCTATAATCCATTCTTCCTCACTCCTAATACTACACAATGCTTCCCGGATCCACAATTTCTGTTTTTCTTGAACCACAAGTTTTTAGTTGAAAATATATTTTTTTTTTTTATCAAAAAAACAATCTCAATCTTATATACGTTCTTTATGACACAAAATCTATTGCAGCACAAATTTTTGGAATATTTTTTTTTCCCATGCAAGTACTCCATGAACAGAACTACATTTGATTTACATGAAAAATGACTTTGAGGCTTACAATTATATATTTTAAATTAATTATTTTTTTTTATCCATGCCTGTAAAATAAAAATAATAATTTGCATGCATGAATTATTGATATAAAATTATAATTCTGTGTTTGGAGAATGAACTTTTAAAATCTTGTCTCAACACAGACCGCAGCCTTATAATGCCCTGATGCCTTGATACCTGCTTTATAACCATTGTAGGGTAGTCGTTATCTAAAAGTAATTTTAACTTGTGTTGAATTAAATTTAGAGAGGATTTATTTTAGTTTAAATTTGATTTTTTTTTTTTTCAAGCTTTCCTAATGAACTGATAAATGAATGTTTTAATCAAAACTGTTAAATCATGCCCGCATTGTTTAGTTTTTTAAAATATGATAATCTCTTCTTTTTTTTTTATATTATTTTAGTTTAATAAAAATTGTTTAAATTTTGTAAAGTATACTGTCAATTGAATGTTACTGTCAACTTAAGATTACTGTAATGTCTACAGTTTTGTAAAAATGATCTTATTTTTGATAATTTATTTTTCAGATCTGCCTTGTTCAAATTTGTAAATAAAAACTGCAACTATTTATTTATATTTTCTTTTAAATTTTAGCCATAATGTACTGCCATTGCATTTAATTTAATTTTATGTTGTTTTAAGTTTTATAAATGGTAATTTATTCTTTCAATTTATGACAGTTTATCTTTGATATTACTTCAATTTTTTAACATTAGAAAAAATAATAATCAAATTGAGATATTTAAATTATTTATTTTTTATAGTTGATGATGTTAATGTTTTTATATTTTTTGCTTGTTTTATCTTATTATTTATTGTTGTGATTAATAAAAATTAAATTATTAATAAAAGCAAATACAGTGGTTT